GAACTCGCATTGTTGAGGGCAACAAAAAAGAATAGCCAGGCTAGGCTAAACTTTATTTTACTTACGTTAGGAAACTCGTACTTCCGGAAAGGAATTTCAACTTCTATAGTGTTTCATTCTGGTCACGTGATCAACAGGAGGAGAGTAGCGAGTTTTCTATTTCGTAGTTTTTCGAGAAGGAGAAGTTTCCTCGATTTCCTCCCTTACGTTTCACATAAATTATTGCTCTGAACTGTAAGTTCGGCGAGATAGTTTGCTAAAAGTCGACTGTGACACCCGAACTATGGCAGAATATACACACACGTATCCACCAGATTAAATCAATATTAAATCTGTAATGGAATTGTTGGATACGAATATCGTAGCACAAAGTTCGACTTGTTGCAATGTAATATTAAGAAGACAAAAACAAAAAAAGAAAAAGAAACAAAATTATAAACCCATTAATGGAGGTAGAAACCTGTGCAAAATTATCGTTTAATATTAACGTTAAAACCAGCAGATTAATTTCCACGAAAAGGATCGCTAATTCATTATTTCATACACGAGACAGAGAAAACAAAGGTGAGCAAACGTAAGCACGAGGCAACAACGTATACGAGTTAATCCGTTGGCTAGGTCGCGTCCCCTTTTCCCGGTGGCAAAAGCACACAAGGGCTTGATTTTCGTGGAAAAGATAATACGGCCAGCTAAAATATCAGTCGGATGTTTTCCGCGTTTTTCTCCGGTGGGAGAGAGAGGGGGGGAGGGGGGAGAGTTAAAATCAGCCTGCGGAGTTTCGTCGCTATTCGCGGCAGCGACGTCTCTACCTACTTCCGCGTAGCCGGAAGCTAGCACGTAATAAGAGGTCTCATCCTGCAGAGACATCGCGAAGCAGCAAAGCTCGATTCTGCTTTAATATGAATGACGTATACAGTTCAATTCCTCGAGGCTTTAATAGGTCGAATCGTCGATAATCCGACGTGAACGTCAGCGAAAAATCAGAGGGAAGGAGCAAGCGCACGTCCGCGTAGAAACGGGAGGAAGACAATTGACGCTGTCTGATCTCGCTTACCGTGAAGAATATTTCGTGGAATTTCGACATTTCATCGGTTCGTTCATATTTTTGACGCTTCGTCAATCCAGTTTAATTTTAATTTACAGTTTAATTAAACTTCTGCGTTGAAACGAAATTTCGAATGAAAGTGGAATGCTTCTGTTCGTAGTAGTATTACAGTAAAAACAAACGTGAAACGCAGTGAAATAGAAACTACATGGGATAACTATATTACCCGTAAAACGAGAGTGATAAAATGTTTGCGGACGATGGTGTGGACATTCTCAGATTTGTTTCGAACTTCACCGTAACGTAACGGAGATTGCCAAGAGGCACGATTTTCAATAAAGTTTCGAAAAGTTTCGCACAGCGCGAACGTTTTAACGTTCGTAAAATGTGTTTTGCAAATGTCCAGATACTTTCGCGCGTACCGCGTACGTTGATCGTACAAGTACGTACGAGCACGGAGAGAGAAAGCGGGAAGAAAAATTGTATGCTTGTCTCTGAATATGTTGGCGCGCGCGCGCGTGTGTGTATGTGTGAGCGTGCACGGTACGTTGTAGACGCGCATGGCGGAGATAGAGGAAGATGGAATGGGTTAGACGGAGGAAGCGAGAGGAATTGTCATTCGGTGGAATTGCAATTTCTCGCTGACGCGTGCTGTGCAACCTCCGGCGCGAGGAGTAAAAGCGGACTAATGATGCACACTAGACTTAATGCTCCGTTCCTGTTCTCATTTCCCACAAAGGTGCGAGCTGCCTGCGGAATGTCAGCCTAGAAGTAGTTCCTGAGGTGGTGCAACGTGGTCAGAAGGTGATTCTCCGCTGCCATTACGATCTCGAGAAGGCTCCTCTTTACTCCCTCAAGTGGTACCGTGGCAGGCACGAGTTCTACCGCTACACGCCCAGCGAGGAGCCGGCCACAAAAGTCTTCAACATCACCGGTATTTACGTTGACGTAAGTGTCAATATGCTTTTTCTCCTTTCCCCCCCCC